AGCACTTGGGAGGCAGAGGCAGGCGGATCTCTGTGAGTTCAAGGCCAGCCTGGTCTACATAGTGAGTTCCAGGACAGCTGGAGCTACAGGAAGACCCAAAAAAAAAAAAAAAAAAAAAAAAAAAAAAAAAAGTTAAAATGTGCTTTGTGACCCAAAGTGACTCAATACAAATTATATTCTTCATAGAATGGGGGGGTGGGGGTGGGGATGCAGGGGAAAATCACAAAACTGTAGAAGAAAGTTATCTATGTCTCTGTATGGACATACGTCCAATAGCCTAAAGAGATTCCAGAATCCTATGATGTGTCTCGTCTCACCAACCACTACAGGAGCAGCTTTACTTTATCATGCATACCCTACAATGATGTACCTCACCAAAGCATCAATGATGAATTATTAAAACACATGAAACTATGATTCTAATTCAATGTTTTTTCCCTTTAAGATGTTTATATCAGGTGTTTTGTCAGTGATATAAAGCTGACCAAGATATTCAATCAACTAGTTTTGACAAGGGCAGAAAGTACATACTTTGAGGAGGAAAATTCTTACCAATAAATGTGGCTGGGAAAACTGGATGTCTATATGTTCAGGAAAGATACCAGGTTCCTCTCTCAGTATACAGAAACCAACTCAAAATACATCAAAGATCAAATGTAAGACTCAACACATTAATGAAAATATAGGGGAACTATTTCAAGATAGAAGTAGACAAAGTCTTTTTGATATGACAAAGCAAAATCTGACAAATGCAATTATATGAAAACTGAAAAGCTTCCATACAGAAAAACAGTGTGTATGTGTACAGAGAGGAATCAGCCACAAAATAAGAAACAATTTTTACCAAGTCAATGAAATTATGTTAATATATCACCGAGCCGACAAATGCCTAATAGCATCATCTAACTGAAATGCCACATCATTCTCCATGATATGCACAATCATCAGTTAATATGTATAATATAAGAGTACAATTAAAAGCTAGAAATGGTTTCTATTCTTATCAACCAAGAACAAATAAATCACCAGAGTTTCACTTACCCAGGAATAGCAAATGGCTGTAGTTCTCCAGCATCACATCCCTGTAGAGGGTCCTCTGAGCTTCACTCAGGTTCTGCCATTCCTGCCAGGTGAATTCCACAGCTATATCCTCAAATGACAGCAACTCCTGTAATGACACATTTCTCCTCAACCCAAGTCCTTAGCTTTGTGAACAGAAATATGGGTGCTCATTCTTCTATAAGGATGCTTGTCTTACATTTGTCATACATAATATGAGGCTTAATTTGTATTCTGTACATAGGAGACAGTAATATCTAATCTATGTATGAGTTTAATAAATCAAGAAAATGATTATATAATTTCTCTTACAGATTTTAAACAATCCTTATCACTAGGAAGAACAGGATTAATAAAACTTCCACTAATGAAGATACAAGTACAAACACATTGCTCAAGCGTGTAAGAAACAGTTAATGTTCCATGTACAACAGGGTAATGAAGTAGAAAACACATTTAGGTTACAAAAGACAGCTATCTCAAAGAGATTTACATGAATGTGTTCTCATAAATCGAAGCAACAGAAAGCACAAAGGACACAGGCTAGGCTAATCAAACTTCACAGAACACAATGTCTAAGGGAGTGTGCCCATGTAATGATGAGTGACAATGTTGGTAAATATGTACAAATAATGTACTACCTTGTGATTTTGCATTTAAGCAATTCTAACAACATAATTTCATGGGTCTGTTATTAGTAGTAAATTACATATAGATTATTGCACAGTCATAGCCATCCTTGTATTCCCTTACTATATCATAAAGAATTGTTTAGGTTCACAGAAAAGTGAATATCATCCATTTCCTAAATCAAAGGGTGTATATGTGTGTGTGTGTGTGTGTGTGTGTGTGTGTGTGTGTGTGTGTGTGTGTGTGTAAGGGGGCTGGAAATCAAATGTGCAAATTACCTGAATCAAGATGATACATGACCATCTACATCAGGAGATACAGGTCAATAATAATATAGAATAGAGAATTCATCCAAAGCAGGGGGAAAAAAAATCACAAAACACAAAGAAGAAATATTTGGTAGGATTGTTATATCTGTGAAAATCAGGAAATTTGTTTCTCAGCTATCTGAAATACAAACATGGCAGAAATAGGCCAAATCTGAAAAAGGAAACTATATATGACAGGCAGAAGTTAAAGTGAGCTTAGACAAAGTATGTCTGAAGTTTCTGTGATCCAAGAAGTCAATATGACCAACTAGAAGTTGAATGTATAATCTAGAACTCAGAAGAGAGATTTGTGATAAAGATAAACATTTAGGGACCATGGGCTCAGGATGAGGTTCAGCTGACAGAGTGCTTCCTTACTATGCATGAAGCTTTGACCTCTAGCACTACATAAACTGGGCATGGTGGCACATGCCTATAACTCATGGGGGTTGAGGCCAACCTGAGCTGAATTAGCTCTCGTTTCAAGGAGAAAAAAAAGAAAATAATTATTGAGTCCTTGTATTCACAACTCTAGAAAAATCTGTTAACATCTACACAGATATCAGTCATATTTTAAAATATACAAGTATGATAAAGATGATCTATGTAATAGAATTAGTGCCATTCTTTAAGAAAATAAAATGAGGAGCTGGAGAGACAGCTCAGTAGTTAAGAGCACTGGTTGTTCTTCCAGAAGACTCACATGGAACCTAATAACTGTCTGTAATTCTAGTTCCAGAGATCTGACGTCCTCTTCTGGTCTCCATGGACACTGCATGCATGGGTGCACTTACGTTACATATAGGCTACACTCACACATATAAAATGAAAATAATTTTTTTTATTTTTTAAAGGAGAGGGTTCCTGGCATGGGAATAAAAGCATTCAACAAATGCTACTGCTAAAAAAAATAAAAGAAAATGTAGGCTGGAAACGGTGGTTCAAGCTTTTAATCCTAGCTTCTTCTCAGTAGGCAGAGGTAGGTGGATCTCTTTGAGTTTGAGGCCAGCCTGGTCTACATAACTAATTCTAGGCCAGCCAGGGCTACACAGTAAGATCACGTCTTAAAAAAAGCAAAGCAAAGTTAATAAGGATGGAGAAAAGGTATAGAACCCTCTCCTCCCAACATGACATGGCCATTGCCCTCTTGAACTGTTAGCAGCTGATTTACCAAATTAAAGTTAATAACTGATAGAGGGAAGGATATAGTGACTCTTCCAACCCAATTTATAGGCAGTTAATGGTTACTAGGAGAGAGAGGCTCACATGCCCCAACACTCCTCAAGGATTTATAGACAGTTAATAGTTGATGCAGACACTTTTTCTTCAGTAATATAACTGCTTAGAAGTTATCCATGCTCCTATAAATAAAATTACACTCATTGTTTCAAGTAAGCCTTGAGTGGAACTGTTTCTTTGGTCTGTCACTGGTGCTTTGTCATGAATGGACTTTTAATGTCTTCCCAAGAATTGTTCACGCAACAGGAGGGTAAAACCATGATGCATCACAAAGGTATTTAGTACTCTATGAAAGGAATTGGCAAATTCAAAGAAACAAGAAAAACAAAAAATGAGAAACATTATGATCTTCATAACATATATCTAAAACCCTGGAGAATTTCCTGGACATTATTCCAAATAGGAAGATTCAATAAGTGCACTATACAAGTCACACAAGGGTTGGGGCTATAGCTCACTGGTAGAGTGCTTGCCTAGCACGTGTGAGGCCCTAGTTTCAATCCCCAGTACAGCCAAAAAAGAGAAACATAGAAAACTGTTGACATACAAGAGTACGTTCATACAAAAACAAAATACCACAAGTACCTAGCAAATGAAATAGTTAGCAATAAAAATTTATAAGATCATAAGGAAATAAAACAAAAAATAGCAATAAAAATTTATAAGATCATAAGGAAATAAAACAAAAAGATTATAAAAAAAGACTACCACATTCCTGGACATAAAATAACCTATCACAAGTGCCGGGCGTAGTGGTGCACACCTTTAATCCCAGAAGGCAGAGGCAAGGTGGATTTCTGTGAGTTTCAGGCCAGCTGGGGTTACAGGGAGACACTGTCTCAAAAAAGACAAATAATAAATGAATAATAAATAAATAAATAAAATTACCTACCACAAAACAGAATGAATACATAGATAAGATTTCTAACATAACATGATTAATTTTCCCTAGGCCAGTAAAGTTTCTTTGTAGATGTAGAATAGTTGATTTCAATGTTGTTATAAATAATTAACACACAGAGCTAGTGAGATGGCTCAGCAGGTAAAAAAGACACTTTGCCTGAAGACCTGAGTTCTATCCCTGGGTCCCACATGGAGGAAGGAGAGAACTGTTCTCGCAAGTTGTTTTCTGACCTTCACATAGATACCATGGCATGCACTGGCCCACACATAGACACACAGACACAGAGACAGACAGACAAACAGACAGACAGACACATACACACAAATAAATACAAGAATAAACACAAAAATAGCAGAGTATAACAAATTATATTCTTGTTCTCCCAAATTCAATGTATTAGCTTGGGTTGCAATAAAAACTAATATAGACTGACTGGGTAGCTCAAACAACTGAAATTTTGTCACAGTCATGTAAGCTAAGTCCAAGGTCAAGGATATAGGTAGTTTGGGTCTTGATAAGGTGTCTCTTCCTAACATTCAGCCCAATCAGTGTCTTTCCATACAAGAAAAATAGAAAATGGTCTCTTCCTCTTTTCTTCAGTTCTAGTGATCAAACCAATAGGCTCTGGGCATAATAGATAAATGCTCTTATATTCAGCTAGCACCCAGCCCTTCTTCCCCTTTTCATAAAGTCTTCAGTTGCATGGTATTAGTATGCCACACACATATGTCCTTATTTAATGAAAACTGCCTCCTAAAAGCCCAGATGGCTAGTATTTGAATTTAGGTAAAGGCTTCTCAGAATGAAAGATGAAGTAGACAAGTAGACCCTTGCAAAGTTCATAAGCAAACTTGAAATCCTCTTTTTGATATACATTCTCTTAAGCAGAAGTCAGAGGAATCACACACAAGTTCTCATGTTTTCGCTGTCATGAAGGCTGAGAATGTACCACGGGGGGAAAAAAATCTCTCTGGTACTCTTGAGTAAGAGAAGCAAATCCTCTCATGCTCTTGATGGACAGGTTATTATGAGAAAAATTTGCTTCTGATCTACCTGGACAACTAATCAACATAACAAACATCACCACCATAAATAACAAGCAGTACAAGGATGCTGATACACAGTCCTAAATAATAAAACAGAAGAAATACTATATATTCAAAATGACACTAAATACCTATTAGTAGTGTCATATAAGGTATGTTTTACTTATGTAATTATTTGGATAAATGCATAAATGTAATGCAAGTGTTGCTTATCATATCATATGTAACTCCCAAAAGCTTAAAGCTCATATGATAGCAGTAGATGCCAGGTACTAGCTACTGCATTTGACAAAATAATATACAGTATAAGTATGCCAGTTTGTAAGCAGAAGTAACAGTAAGAAGCTAGTAGATATTTGAGGATGTATAAGATTGCTCACCTATAGATAGATTTCTTTCTCATACCATCCTTTATGGTTTAAAACATTATAAAAGTTGCCTCCACTATTTGTAGAAAAATACAATTAAAAAATGCCTTGTGGGCTGGGAATATAGCTCATTTCTAGTAGTAAGGCAGCATATGTGAAGCTCCAGGTTTGAAATATTTTTAAATCCTACAAAAAATACTCTTAATAAGAAAAAAAGATTAAAGACTGAGTAAAAATGAGGATGTCTTGTGTAAGATGGAGAAATATAAGCTGTCTGCTGGTGACTCCATGAGTGAGAAGATCAGGGTAACCAATAATAGACTTTATTCTGAACATTGGGAATCACAAAAAAGGGAGACAGGAAGCTGAAATACAAGGAGAAAGACAAGGCAGTGAGATGAAGCCAGTGGCCTCAGCAACTCAGAAAGGGAGAAGCCAGAGATAAGGCACGCCAAGTAGCCTTGGTGAAAACAGACTGGCAGTGGCTACCTGCCCAAGAATGGGCCCATTAACAATCCACCGCAAATGATGGAGGGTCTCATAAGGTCCCAGAGCTCCCTGAGGAGCTATGGGAAGTCACATTTCTCTACAGTGAGGCCACTGATTAAGCTGTTCTTGCTCAAGTAAATAATCCCTCACCCAGAGTTATGCAAGCAAACCTAATAAAATGTAGTGGACCAACAACCAAAAACAAGACATGAAAATGGGAAGGGGGACTTACTGGAGAGATGAAAGGGTTCAGTTGGAAGGGGAAGGGGCTAAGAGGATAGTGGGGCAGGGGGAATATGATCAAAGTACATATTATATACATTATATGTATATATATAATATACAAATATATATGAAATCATGAAAGAATTTTTAAAAAGCTCTATCATTTATGTTAAAAATCATGACAGTAAAAAGAAATACATAAAAACTAAAATCATTCAGGAATATGATACACCGTGTCCACTGATGACCCAGCCCCTGCCCTATAGTCAGTGAAGGCTCCAATGGGAGCTTAAGTCATCTTGCAGGAATAAGAATTATTCCTGGAGTCCCAAGTACCAGCCCCATCACCCACCCCACAGTGAGAGGGAACCTGTGGCCCAGTGTCCCAATGCAGGGCTCCAGCCTGTAGACTCCAGAGCCACAACTGGTTCCCATTGATTATACTCCCTGGTTCAAGACGCTGGCCCACACACTCACCATTTCTGGCTTCCAGGGCATCGAGCGTCTTCCCTACGGAACTCCCCGCACCAGCACGTCACAGGGCAACAGAGTCTACAGCACAGCCACCTAGACCTCCAGAGTAGAGGAGACTGAGCCTAGGGACGATTCCCAAGATGGCGAGCTTCAGAGATAAAGGCCCTAGCAAGACTGTGAGAGCCTGCCCCCTACTGTCCATTTGCCTGAGTAGACATTCCTCAACCCAGTGCCTTTAATTCTACAGGGCCTTCAGACCCATACACTGGGGTCCTAAGTGACAGTAACAGGCACCAAACCGTCACAGAATGAAGCCAGCCAGAATAATAAGTTCTTGGCTATAGCTATTTCAAGGCTGTGGAAGGACTGAACCCAATGATTAGACGTTTGCATTTAACTTTGTATATAAACTCAGCGTCTCTGAATTATATATGTACATATGTATATATCACAAAAGGAAATATGATGATGTTAAATTTCTGAGTGTGGTTGGAAGGAGGCAGCCTGAGCACTGAAATGGGAATTCTCTAACACAGTAATGTCCACTACAAAAAAAATGAGGAATACAGATAATTAAAATTTTTCCTATATACACATTAAAAAAATATTTGTTATGAGTACATGTATGTAAACACACCCTGGTTGTACAATGCTTGTGGAGGTCAGAAGAGGGTTCTGGAACCCCTGAAACTGGAATTACGGATGGTTGTTAGTCACCATGTGGGTGCTGGGAACCAAACCTGGGTCCTCTACAAGAGTAGCCAGTGCTCTTAATCACTGAGCCATCTCTCCAGTCCCTTGTATACACATTTTAAAAATACAAAATGATGAAATGGACTGTAATAACCCAATATATCCCAAATGTTAACATTGCAATAGATGATCAATATGAAACTATGAGTGAAGTACTATAGTTTTGAAACTAAATTTTTAAAAGTTGTTATGTTTTCACCTCCCAGTCATCTCTGTTCAGAGCAGCTACATTCCTTCTTAGAGAGCTAGGACTCTCCTGACCTCAGGAACTTTAAGGGTCTAAAAGGTCAGAAGTGAAGAAATAAAATTCCAAACCAGAATTGCTTTTAAGGCTCAAGGAAGGGAAGACAGTACCCTAAGAGAGAGCAGGGAGCTTCAACCAAGTATGTAAAGATAAACAATCGCTTCCCAACTGATGCTGAGCTAGGCTCCACTCCTCCTAGATATCAACAGGAAAAAAAGGACAATGGGGCCCTAGGAAGAGGACTTGTCATGTCTTCATGTCCATCCACAGCATTGATATCCAGAGGTTAACTAGATTAAACCAAATTTCCTTTTTAGGAGCAAGCCTTGGACCTAATGGCCAGATTATGTACTATGTGAGTCAAAGCATGAGTCACATGTTTCCAGTTTCCATGTATTTCTGTATAACTCCAAAAAAGGACAATGGGGCCCTAGGAAGAGGACTTGTCATGTCTTCATGTCCATCCACAGCATTGATATCCAGAGGTTAACTAGATTAAACCAAATTTCCTTTTTAGGAGCAAGCCTTGGACCTAATGGCCAGATTATGTACTATGTGAGTCAAAGCATGAGTCACATGTTTCCAGTTTCCATGTATTTCTGTATAACTCCACACTCTTTCAATTGGAGGAAATGAGTACCTATAAGGTACTTTTGTTTATA